TCAATATAACTAATATAATTAATATATTAAACAACAAAAACTCATTTATAATACTTGTATTAATAATAATAATATTATTATAATTAATACAAGTATTATTAGTATTATTAATATTAATATAAGTATTAATATTATTAACAAAAATCTAAGAACTAATAACTATTTAAAATATAAATATTTAATAAAATAATAATTTACTAAAAATAATTATTCAATAAAAATATTAATAGTTACAATTCAATAAAACTAGTTAAAAATTTTAATATTGATTTTTATTAGGTTAAATTTCTGAAATATTTTCTGGATTTTGATAAAATTTCCAGAAAAAAATCATATTTTTTTACAGGAATTCAAAATTAATTCAAATTAAAATAAAAATATAACTAAATTTAAAAGTAATAATTAGTGCTAGAAAATAAGATTAAATATTACTAAATTCATTTAAATATATTTATAATCAATTACCAAAAATCCAAAAAATATTGCAAAATTAAAATTATTTTTTTATAATAAATATTTTATTTTTATTAATAAATATTTTTTGTTTTTATATCAAAATAAAGCTAAAAATTTATATTTTAATATATAATTTTAGGAATATTTCAAATTGTAAAGTTGATTATATAAACTTTTTATAATTAAAATTTAATAATTTGAATTTTAATTATAAAAAGTTTGTATAACTAACTTTATAATTTGAAATATTTCTAAAATTAAATTTAAAAAATTTATAATAAATATATGTTAAAATATATATTTTTAGCTTTATTTTAATATAAAAACTAGGAGTGTATATATAAATTTTAAATTATAAAAATTTATAATTGTGTATATTTATATATAATTTAATAGTAATCTATAAATGCCAAGTTTATATACTTGTTGTCTAAATTTTAATTTATTATGAAATTTGACTGATCCAAATTCCAGATCTTTGTTCAAATTAAAATTTATTCTTATTGATAAATTTATTTTTATTTTTATTTTTATAAAAGGCATAAAATATTATATTATATTCTTGTCTCAGATCACGCTCAGCCCAAATTAAGAGAGATACTACTAGAGTTAAGGTTAATGCTGATCAATGTTTCGAAAATGAGCACGTGAAGCTTCTGGCGATCAGTTCATCTATAAAAGAATTGAAGCGTAACGATAACAAACCAGGATTTCGAATTAGCAATTTTTTGTGTAATAGTATCGATGTAGGTTTTTAGAAATACTACAGTCAAAACTCGATATAACGATAATGATACTGTCGGAAACATAGTAAAAAATTTTGCAAATATCGTTATATCGAGAAGTGTTTTGGGTTGACATCATTATATCGAGTTTTTAATTAGTTATCGTTATATTGAGTATCATTATATCGAGTTGTGACTGTATAATTATCGATTTTTCTCTGTTAAATTTAAAATGAGACGGAATCCATGGAGCGCAGATTGGAATTTTTCCAGACATTGGAATGGATGTTGCACATGCCTCGCACTAGAACATAAAAAATTTCAATTTCCGATCAAAGCAATTGAAATAACACAATACTCCTGAGAATTCACATTATCTTTGCGAAGATACCACAATAATGTCAAAAATTCCAACAAACTTTGTATGTCTCCACGTCATCGATTGCTTGAGAATATTTGAGTGGTTGCCGAATTACTTCGATGTGTATGATTTCACGAAAGCAATTAGCAAACATCAATAGTCGTAATGCAACTCCTGCAGTAATTTTTTTCACAAAGCGTAAAATATTTATGTCTACGTGTAATTCCCCTGAATAACTTTAAGTTTATACAGTGTAGGCAGCCTATAAGTTGCAGATATAAAAAAGTTGCAACGTTGTTTAATATATTATCTCAATACACACCCCTACAGTATATTACCGAAAATTTCAAAAATGAATTTGTCACTTTGTAACCCGATATCTCGAC